TGGTGCTTCACGGCCAGGGAGATACCGGGCTTCTCTAAGTGGGAATAATTTGGGAAGACTATGGCAGCTGTTGCTGGAAGAAGTAGTGACTGCTGGCTGGAAGTTAAGGTACAGTAACTAAGCTCCCTGAGGAGCTGCAAAGTAGCATGTGCAGCAAGAACCAAAGTGGGAAAACTACAGGGATGTGTTCAAACTCATTCTTGGGAGGGATGAGAAACCTTAAGTAAAGCTTAAGAGCCTAGGGATGAAGGGTGAACCAGTAAGAGGAAAATGTTGTTTTCAGTTTAGTAGCATAAAGAACAAACAAAACTGTTGTGGGTATGACTCCAGAGACAAAAGGTTTACTGGTACTCCTGGTTGAAAGGGTGGGCTGAGATGCTTCTTGCAAATATTAATGAGAAATGATCAGTACAAATTCCTCAAATTAAGGCAAAGCAGGTAATAAGGTTCTTCAGGTTTCTCTCTTTTCCTCTGGAAGTACAAGACGTGGTTAGATCTGCTTTGAGAGGCTGCAAGTGGCCTCCATCAAACTCCATCAGTGGTACATCAGTATAAATGCTAGCGATTAATTTGGAAGCCTAGAAGGATTGCAAGGACTAACTCCATCCGGGGTGAGAATGAGTCTGGCCAAGTACTTTGGAGTACTTCCATTCTGCCAGGGACTCTTTGGAAAAACCTCAGAAATTGTCTGTAAACTATTCACTGTCCTTTGTGTCTCCTCCGTAACACTAATACTAACATTATTATTAATAAAATGTAATAATAGTATTAACAATTTGTAATTAATATAATAAGTCACAATAATACAAGTCTCATTGTCTTTTGAAAAACCAGGCCCTTAGGATTTAGCCTAGTGTGAGAGCTGCTGAGTAAATCCCAGTGAAGTAGGGATTTACTTACCCTGAAGTAGGGTTTAAACCTCACAGGTATGTGAGGTTCAAACTTCCCACTCTGAAGCTGAATTCAGAAGGTGATTACAACCTGTTTGTATTGGTGCCTCAAGAAGGTCACAGGGAGAAACTAATTTCCTAATGGGCTCCTAGCTAGAAAATTGCTATTTTAGGCTTTCTGGTTTTGCTGATCTACTCTGCAGGAAGATAGTAAGAAACTACACACATAAAAAATCAGCTCTCGGACTTGCGTAACTGCAAAACCACAGTGAAGTACTTTCCAGTCTAGACCATCAAAGGAAGCTTGGGAGGTACATAGACCCAGGCTAACAATACTCAACCCAATTGCTTTGATGACTGGAAGCAACAATTGCTAGAATTTACTCCCTTCAGCCTTTTGTTTTGTTTGCTTTTTGCTTTTCATTTACAGAAAGCTTAGTTGTGAGGGATGTTCACCACATTTCTGAGAATCACAAAGAAGAGAATTTGAGGTTTTTTCCTTAAGTTTGGAGCAAATGCCTTGTTCAAGTGCTCTTTAAAATACTGACAGTTATTTTTAGATGGTCTGGACTTTTTTTGGTTATACAAGAACGCACAGAGAAAGTTGGCTCTTAAACATACTGCTTACATTATGGAACAGATATAAACATTATGAGAAGTGATGAAGGCTGGAACAGTATCCTGATCAACAGGTGGCCCTGGGCAGGATATTCCTCACTATTTGCCCTATAAATAAGCACTGGATTAGGAAAAAGGCCTGCCCTGGGGAAAGGCACAAGGCTAACAAGGGAAGGTAATCAATCATCTCACAGTATCTGTCAATCTGTCTTCCATGTAAGTACTCAAACCAAAATAATTTGAGCAGGCATTGAGACCTTAATGGGACTTGAACGCTAGCCAACTCCCATAGCTTTTCTGACAGTACCACCACCAGATACATACAAGTGAACTCCACAGAAGAAAAAAAAAACACCACCAGATAAAATAAAATCTGAAGTTAATTACTGTGATAAAAGCGACTGTGAAATCTTCTCGTGTACACCCTCCCACCTCAAACTGAAACATACTTGAGTTGCATTGGCATGCAGTCTTCAGCTGCCTGACCACACACACAGAGCTATTTCTCTCCCCTCAGGACTCCTGCCTCAAAAGGGCAATGCAGGGATAACACACAACTGCCAAACTATTCATTATTGTTCTTCCTGGTTGTTCAAACTGTCCCCATACTTCCCTCACCGTTCCAAGAAAAGAACCACCACGTCCCTAATAGGCCACTAATTTCTATGGAAATCTGCCCAGAAATACAGTACAGTCTAGCTTTCAGTATCTTTTTGCTGAGTGCATTCATAGCAATGAACAAGGTGGCACTGATGATGAAAAAGTGAAAAAGGTTGAAAACTAGCCTAAAAATAAGCCAGTCAGCATTGAAGTGGGAATAGGGTCATGGTCTGCTCGGACACTAATCTCTGCTTTGGATTCACTACCTTGCTAGAGAATTTTGCATAGCTGGTCAGCCCCAAAGTGGTGGGGTTTTGGGTGGGTTGTTTTGGGTTTTCCACACACACGCAAAGCAGCTTGTGGGTTAGGCTCTTGCTCTTACTCTTTAAGTCTGTATTTAGAGCACTTACTCAGGATGTTTCTTCCTTGTAATTTCTTCCTTACCTGAAGGAATTCAAACTGGTCTTTCCTACCTCCCAGGCAAAGGTTTTCTAAGCTCAGGTTCTTTTCTAAGCTCTTCAATTCTTCCCATCAAAGCTGTCCTGCTTTGCATGAGCTAGTTTCGTATTTATAGGAAACGGAACCAAGACAGATTCTGTAGCTATAGGGGAGGAACAACCACCTGAAAATAGGGATGTCGCTCCAGTCACCTCCAGCTAATGCTCAAATGTTTTAAATATTCACCGGAATCAAGATTTAATCCCAGCTGAATTAATTCTATACTCATGTACTCTTTCCTGCAATCCTGCCAATCTGGCCAGTTATGCCAATAAGATTCCAGTCTTATTCTGTCTCCTCCCTTCTTCTTCCTCCACATCCCAAATACCCTGGTACATAAGTAAATACCACAGTACAGCAAATATCCTATTTAACATGTCATTTTAAACTTTTGAGACACCACCACACCCCATTACAAAATTGCACGAAATACTGGTTCTTGTAGGCCATCTAGTGGTAAAAGCAGAACGGTACAAAGAGAAAACCATTTCAAACTTCTTCTGAAAGACGATTTAATATAATCTGCAAGACACAGGGCTACCTTGCTATCAATGGATGTTTTCCCCACACAGCAGCCAGTAAGATGATTAGGCTTACAAGCCATCCTCTGAATAAGCTGAGAGTATGGCCACAGGCTCCTTTTCTTCTCTCTCCAGCATTAATCCTAAAAACTGTTAGAAGTTCTGTCTGAGCAATGGAAAACTGTATTATAAATCACTTAGAGCAGAGAGGAGGTCTACTGAAACTTCTTTAAATCAAATTTTTAAACCCTCTGTTGGGCGAGTGCTAGCCAGTTCTGGGTTCCTATAGTTTGCTTCTGACTGGAGAACTTAATGGAAGATGTCAGGTATTATAAGGAACAGACAGAAGTTCTCAGTTCATTGAACACTGCAGACAGCAGTTGCTTTGCTTACAGCTCTTAGAGCCCTCAGAGCACCCACCGGTTCTGCAACCCCTTCCCACCTTTGTAGGGGTTTGGCTGCCCGTGTGCAAGCGAGCTCTGACACTGCACCTGGGATGAGCCTGCTGTGAAAAGGCTGCGTGAGAAAGAGCTGTGGACAGCCTTGTTGGAAGCTTCTGCCCCTTGGCTCAGCAGCCGCATTTAAGCGCATTTAAGCTCAGGCCCTGGGCACGGGCCCCTGCCTCAGCTGTGCTGTAGATATGTCTGTGCCAGCCCACGGATCTCACTTATCCTGACCCTGACTTGCTGACATGACCATACCAAGTGGACACAGGTTACAGCAGCCCCCTGATTTGTGACTGTCAAAGGTGGAAATAAGAAGACAATGACTGTTAAAGCTTTATCCATGGTATCTAAAAGAGAACAAAAATACACATCTGCTTGAATAAAAGTTTATTTCATGTATCATAGAAAAATCATGGATACCATCAAATAAGGCTTTACAAGATAAAGGATATAAAGGAAAGACACATATAAATTCATAATAAATACTCTGCTTTCTCATCACATTACACACAATATTCCTCATAGTTACACACTTAGGAACTAATTACTACCATTGCAGTTAGCAGACATTTCACTTGCAAGATTGATCCCTGTTTTAAGGCTAAATCCTGCCGTCCTTACTTAGGCAAATTCTTAGAGCTATTCCAAAGAACTCAGCCTTAATAAGAAGTAGAAGACTGGACTTGGTATGTAAGTATCTTAGCTGCTACGTTTATATGCAACTGTAGAGTGTAATCCTCTTTTTACACTTGGTTCTACTCAGGAGTCAGCTAATATAGTTAATATAATAAAGCCACCTATATTAAAAATGAGTTCCATTTACTGAATTTGGCTGATTTGACAAATGTAGAAATAATCTGCAATATCACATGTTTAAGCTCGTAATTACCTGGTAGTATCCTTCTGGTAGTCACAGTTAACGTCTCCTTACAGTTTTTTTAACTAATGCATTTCACATTCTCTTACGCAGTTGTTTCATGATAAAGAACAAGTTAGACAGTCTTTTCCTCAAAAAACCTGAGAAACGTACCAGCTTTATTCAGATATGGTACTTGAGAGTATAAGGTACTACAAAACAGAGCTGAGGTATAAACCTGAATTCTTCATAAGCTCCAAACCCCTATTGATGTTAACAGAGTTTGGAAGCTGTGCAATAGAGGAGAGCTATATTTGATTGTCTCATCTTAGCTCCTTTTTGGACACCACACAAAACCACCGAACAAAATTTTCACTAAGTGTGCAGCAAAGCAAAGAAAAAAAAAAAGAAAAAGATATCACAGTGTATTGAATGCAACTGCTATTATCACATTATGTCAACATTAATAAGTTTCTCATATACATTCATCTGCTGTTTGGATTCTAGCTGCATTAGACTATCCAACAAGACAGAAAGAAACTACTGTCTTTACTAAGTTAATGGCAACCGCTTGACTGGAAGTGAGAATTCTATCCAGTAGCTACAGGAAAAGTCAGACTACGTAAAGAAAAAATTAGGTTTACGTTTTTTTTAAATACAAAGAAAGGGACATCTGCATCCGTATCTGACTGCTGACTCCAGTAACTCTCAGACAAACTCTTGGAGGATATATAAAACTGAATTTGAAAAGAACAGAAAGTGGAATCAGCACTTAACTATGCCCTCCAAACTTACTTATTTTACCTGATATTTGCAATGCCTAGTTTACACTGCATCCTCATATTTATGTAGACCTCACAAGGTATAAGCACTCCAAACAACACTGAATGTACAAGAGAAACAGTTTCACAAATGGGATATATCACATGCTTTTTAGGCCAAAATGTCTCTTTGCTATCATGCCTCCTTACTATTTTGGTCAATTTTTCAAATGACAAAACAGTCCCTGTCAAGAACTTGGTTACATACACATAGTTACGACAAACCCAAGAGTCTCATTTGTTAAATCATTTGAAAAGGATAGGATTTTACTAAGCAATGTATCTAAGCCTCTAGTGCTATCATAGTCCACAACATTTTACACAGACAACTCTCATTTTAAAATATATGACTACAGTTTTTTTCCTTGTACTAAAGTGATTACTTCCAAGTTTATAAGCATAATCAAGACCTCTTCCCTGGAAGAAAAATGCATTTTTCTGTAGCTTGCCTTAAAGTGTGATCCAAGACAATTATTATGTTATTGAATGTAAATTTTTATATTAACAGTCCAACAGTGCAGAAGAAACATAGGATAAATCATTGTAAAGGAACAGAACTGTTCTGTCTTTCTGTCACGTGCAATGCACTGTATCAGTTTAATTACGCAATGCTGGCAAATAATTCCATTTATAAATAGCAACACTGCACCTTTGACACGATACTCAATCAAAAAAATAGGTTTGCTGAAATGAAGAAAATGCTCCTGTATAAATTGGAGTATAATTATAAATCAATTCTTTTCTTTCCTCATCTTCACTGGGGAAATGGTGCAGGCTCTTCCGGGCTGTAAAACATTATAAAAGTACAGATCACTTTACTGTTATCCTCCTGTATTGGGTTTGCATGGCAAGGTTTTGGTAGCGGGGGGCTACAGGGGTGGCTTCTGTGAGAAGCTGCTAGAAGCTTCCTCTATGTCCAACAGAGCCAATGCCACAGTGCCTCTGTGATAACATATTTAAGAAGGGGCAAAAAAACCCCTGCGCAACACCAGCAGCAGTCAGAAGAGAGGAGTGATAATATGTGAGAGAAACAACTCTGCAGAATCCAAGGTCAGTGAGGAAGGAGGGGGAGGAGGTGCTTCAGGTGCCGGAGCAGAGATTCCCCTGCAGCCCGTGGTGAAGACCATGGTGAGGCAGGCTGTTCCCCTGCAGCCCATGGAGGTTAACGGTCGAGCAGATATCCACCTGCAGCCCGTGGAGGACCCCATTGTGTGGGGGTGGATCCACGGAGCAGGTGGATGCCTGAAGGAGGCTGTGACCCCATGGGAAGCCCATGCTGGAGCAGGCTCCTGGCAGGACCTGGGGCCCCGTGGAGAGAGGAGCCCAGGCTGGAGCAGGTTTGCTGCCAGGACTTGTGACCCCGTGGGGGACCCACGCTGGAGCAGTCTGCTCCTGAAGGACTGCACCCCATGGAAGGGACCCATGCTGGAGCAGTGCGTGAAGAACTCCCTTGGGAGGGACCCCACGCTGGAGCAGGGGAAGAGTGTGAGGAGTCCTCCCCCTGAGGAGGAAGGAGCGGCAGAGACAACGTGTGATGAACCGACTGAAACCCCCATTCCCCGTCCCCCTGTGCTGCTGGTGGGGAGGAGGTAGAGAATTCAGAAGTAAAGTTAAGCCCAGGAAGAAGGGAGGGGTGGGGGGGAAGGTGTTTTAAGATTTAGTTTTTATTTCTCATTACCCTACTCTGATTTGATTGGCAATAAATTAAACTAATTTCCCCAAGTCGAGTCTGTTTTGCCTGTGACAGTACTTGCTGAGTGACCTCTCCCTGCCCTTATCTTGACCCATGAGCCTTTCGTTATATTTTCTCTCCCCTGTCCAGCTGAGGAGGGGGAGTGATAGAGCAGCTTTGGTGGGCACCTGGCATCCAGCCAGGGTCAACCCACTACACCTCCTTGACAGTGTCTTTCTTGGCAAAGTAAGTTATTCTATGTAGCATAACAGCAAATGGAATTACAGTAACTTGTATGTGAAGAGCTGTGAAGATACATCTTCAGAAAGCTGGTTACAGCATATTTTATTACTGGGGAGGGTTAAAGCCAAGATTGTACAAAAATATTTATCCGTGAGATACTGGCAGTATCTACCAGAGATACCAGTACTTGTAATACTGAAAGAAATGCACGAGAGTATCAGCCTACTGAAAGTTGCAGTGTTAGCATGAACTGTGCTTGTGAGGACAATAAAAACTGAATCCTTGCCTGGTTTATCATGTTGGCAACTCTACAGAAGTTAAAATTAACAACGGATGGATATGAAAATGATATTTCAGTAGAATGGTTTAGTTATTAAGAGATCACAGATGAGTATATTTTTGCCAGCTGAAAACAGCTTACATTTTTCACCCTGTGGTTTATTTTCAAAGTTAAGGAAGACATTCTGCCTTACATTAGCTAAAAACATCAATTACTCATTGCAACATTATGATATGAAGTACTCGGTAGGAGCAGCTGTACATAGATTGGGGAGGTAATGAAGAATAACTCATAATTTGGTATATGAGATGGGGGTAGACACATAGAGCTGGCTGACACAAGTTTGCTCTACTAGAATTGAAGGTAAACAGATCCAAGAGCTCGTGACACACCTGTGTGGTACTACGCACAAGCTCATTATATATGTATACATATATAAAAGAACTCACATGCACTGTGTCTCAACAGGACTTACAAGCAGAGTTGGCACTTATTTTGCCACATTTACTTGGATAATGGCCTGAGCAAGCTTACTTCTGCCTGTAATACAGTGTGCAGACAGATACTAGAGAATGTAGCAAACAAAACTAGAAAACATGCTGCATTCTAGTATTAGACTACAAAAGAAAAAACGGACTCATACTATACTTTCTCCTATTTTCCCCTTTATTTTTGTCTTAGTCTCCCATAAGTACCCTATCAAAATTCTTAAAATACAGGAATCTTATGGATACTGACAAGGAATTTTACGTGATGGAGTAGGACTACGTTACGCAAAAAAGAGCCCTGAACTTGTACGAAGCACAACTTTTATTTCTACACTCTCAGTGACCAGGTCAGCACAAGTTGCATTTCTTTAGATCACTGTCTGCTTTCTCCAATTAGGTGACTCTTTTGATTAGACATCAAATCTAGAGATCAAACTCAATTAAGTTATTATGATCTTCATAGTCCAAATTGATCAGGTAAGACAATTTCATAAATAGTCAAGTTAAAATATGAAAATTATATTTCAGCAGAATGGTTTAATAAGTATAAATAAAGGAATAAAGTAAGTTTGATCCCTTCAAATACTCCTATATTTATATCCTGCTTATTTATAGCAAATAGACCAGAAGTGTCATAAATTATCAAAATTTTACACATTAGTTACTTCCAGCTTCTTTGGGTATAAACAAACAAATCAGAAGCTCTGTAAAATTCAAAACCTTCTTGTGCTGTCTATAGTATATAACTGTGGGCACCATATTGCACCCCTTTGATACATCCATATACTGCCCAAGCAGTATTTATAATCTTGGTGCGTATATTTTGCAAGCAAAACTGAGAATACATTGAACGACTGTAACTCAGTTTGGAACTGAAGAAACCTCTGGAATTATGAATGGAGTATTTTTTTTTCATTTCATTGTCTTTGTGCAAGGGAGGCTAAAATGTTACAGTGATCATTCGAAATGGTAGAAAGTCACAGCACAATGCTTTTGAGCCAGTCTACTGAAAAGAGTTTGTGGAATGCCTGGCCTTTTGATGTGACTTTTACTAAGCCATTCTATTTCTAGTAACCCTTGGTTTTTTATAAGCCTATAAAGCTTGCAGAGTAATCTTCTCAGAAAGCAGTAAGAGGTACTGAACTTTGACAGCTGAAAAAGAGGTCTGTCGTCTTCAAACATTTTCACTAATGCTTCACTCTAAAAAACGACATTTATAGATAATAAACTTTTTACCTTCATTAATGAAGAAGTCAGCTATATAATATGCTGCTCTTACAGCTGATGGGGAATGTGGAATGCCTGGTGAATTCTTCCACTCATAAGGACTTTTCTCTGGATGCCACTGAACGCCATAAATTGGATATTCGTATGCTGCAACAAGCACAAAGCACGTAAGCAAGGACTATGCCTTAAGAATTATGCGCTTAGTCTTACTGCAAAAGAAACTCAAAGGATAAAGCTACAAAAATACCTCACTGTCCTGGTTTCGGCAGGGATAGAGTTCATTTCCTTCCTAGGAGCTGGCACAGTGCTGTGTTTTGGATTTAGGGTGAGAATAATGTTGATAACACACGGATGTTTTAGTTGTTGCTAAGTAGAGCTTGCACTAAGTCAAGGACTTTTCAGCATCCCATGCTCTACTGACCGAGAAGGCTGGAGGTGCACAAGCTGGGAGGGGGCACAGCCAGGACAGCTGACCCACACTGGCCACAGGGACATTCCATACCATGTGACATCATGCTCAGTACATAAACTGGGGAAAGCTGGCCGGGGGGGCTGCTGCTGGGGGACTGGCTGGGCATCGGTCAATCGATTGCTTTGTATATTATTATTATTACTACTACATTATTATTATTATTATTATTTTATTTCAATCATTGAACTGTTTTTATCTCAATTCATGAGTTTTTCTCACTTCTACTCTTCCAATTCTCTCTCCCATCTCACTGGGGTCTGGGTGGGGGGGGGCATCAGGGAGTGAGCAAGCAGCTGTGTGGTGCTCAGTTGCCGACTGACTGAGGTTAAACCACGACACTCACTTATCAACAGTTTCACAAAAGCTTCAACAGCAAGTTGAAACTCTGTTAAAGTCGCAGTAGAACTGAAGGGAAAGAAATGGATAAAGGGTCTCATTCCATGCGAAAAGATTTTTGTACATCACTGTTTTGATTATTCATTTCAGAATTAATATATATATACTAAAAAATAATGTTACAAGTGTATCAGCCTCAAAACTTCCTATCTACTGCCAGCATCACTCAACGTACAATATTCACAGCCACACAGGATATCCCTGGCAGTTCCATGGGACAGATCCAAGTCTTACAATCTCCTTGAAGGCCCACTCAACCCAGGGGCAGCTCCCAGCTGCTCTGTGCCAGGCCCGATACACGCATGGGGAAGTCAGTCCTCAACTCTCTTACAGAGAATAGCAGCACAGCAGCTGATGACTGCTCTGTGATAAACCACTTGCAGGCATGGGAGATGTCTGTCATTAGCCTAATCAGGTTTTCTGATCAAACTGCTATTCTTCTCTTCTGAAGGACAGACAGTATGCCACACAGAAAAATCCCATGGGCTGACAGCTGGGCCTTACTGTAGAGCTGCTGGTAGTGCACTGATCAAGATAAACCACTCCCTAAAGAGCTAACTTGTTTCTTGAGCTGAGCAAGCCTGGTGCAAAACATACGCAACACAAGGTAAGTAATGCAAAAGGCTTTTGGAAGAGGGCAATTACCAGTATTGCTGCTAAAGTAATGAAGGAGGTTGCTGTTACCTCAGTACCCCGAATTGTATACAATTCAATGTCACCATACAGCAAACAGATACAGAGCATCACAGGAATGCAAGCATAAGCAGACAGACAGAAAGCAAGGTGCAACAGAGGCATGTTGCACTGTGGAGGGATTAAACTACTACAGGATGAGTGCATCACAGCACTCCAATATTCCAGTGCTAAAATGTAACAGCATATCTGGAAGGGGAACAGCAGGTGAGAGAAGTAAGTAATTAGGCTCACAGATACGTACTCAAAAGATAAAATATCCCTGCAAACAGAGCGTGTTCCTCACAGCCACAGCACCGACAGGGCTGATGCTCACCCTGCTATTCTAACAGCAAGCTTGCAGTACAACTTAACATCAATGCCACACCACCTCTAAAGAACTAGTTTGTTACAGTCACAGTTTACAAAGGAAATTCATTTCCCTACCTTCCATGGTAGATATAAACTCCACTTTGTTATCGGTGTTAGTAGTCAGAACTTTATAGAAATTACGAAGCTCTTCATTCTTTGTGAAATTCTGTGATAAGGAGGGGGGAAAAAAAGATATGTTATTTGCTCATTTATTTCTAGTTTTAACAGAGCAAATGTGTTTGTGTTCAGGAAATAAAATAATCAAATACCTCCATGGAGAGGCTCCACATATGAAAGTTTGATGTCAACGGCTCAGTAGCAAATGCATGTAATACATCATCAGGGAAATTCTTGAATAATCTACTGTCTTTTGCAGCTATTACAAAGAAAAATGAGAAAAGGATACTGTCCATTACCCAAGCTGCTAACAGATGGACTAATACTGAACAGGAGACAAATTTAATAAAACACTGCATTAAAGTAAACTTTTTTCTGTAGTATAACTTTATGATTTTAGAACACACTGCAAGGAAAATCAGTGAAATAACTACAACAGGTTTCCAATATGCTGTTACCACTGTCCTCCAGTCTTGACCCAGAGAGGACCCAACTTTGCTACCTCACTAAAATAAGCATCATTCTTTGCCACTCATTTCAGTGACCTTTCCATTCACAGTGAGCATAAATGACAGAATTTGTGAATGCTACATGGTCCACAGATGGACTACTCACAAATTAAAGGATAAAGCATCAACAGAGGCCACATTTTACCAGTGTTGCTGAGTGGCACAGCTCTGTCTTAAGGGATCTCTCTGATTTCAATACTGTACAAATGGGACAGCAATGCTAATATTCATCATTAGGAAAGATGCAATTTGAAAAATTTAAAATCACCTGCTGTCTGACTTTGATAGGTTTTGGACCCGTGAATTTTGTTCAACTTGGTTAACAAAAAGGGACTAAACCCACATTATTTTTGTAGGTCCAAATTATCAAATGACTTGAAAAGCCACAACTGTGTTTTTTGCTGACTGCTGATTGCTTCAAATGGCGTGTGCTCACATCTCTGCTTTAGAAGTGATAGAGTTGCACTGACTTTATGAAAACAGTCATGGCAACTTAACAAGAAAGAATTTAACAAGATAATCATCAGAAACCTCCCAAACATTCACCCCTGCCTATTTATCAAGAACAAAACACACCACCTCTCAGCAAAACTCAGACATGAGATGTAATGGATTTTTCACCTGAGGTAAAGTTCAGAGGGAGTGCAAAACCATCTGTCTTGGTATTAACAAGTAAAACTTTGCCACTTGTGAGATACGTAAGCTCTTCGTGTCCAAGACATGTTCCCCATACTGGGAAATAATCTCCTTTATCGTTAGCCTTCAAAATAAAAAGCAACAACATAAGGAAAAAGTACTGAAGATGTACAGAAAGACTGAAGAGAACATCCTACTCTTTTTGTTTTCTCTTGTGTAGGTGAGAAATAAAACTACTACAGTAGTACAAATTGCTACCGGAGGAATTGTAACAGTTCAATTACAATTGAAACAAACACAGCCTCCCTTAGGTTTTCTCCTAAAATATGAAGGCTAGGGGATGCCCATTGAAGCAGTAAACTGAGCCTAACGTTGATATTAATTTGACTGTTCTCTTCTACGAATAAGTAATGTTGAGAGCAGCCTAAACAGAAACCACAAAATGACAACCTTTCTATAAAAAAGGCAATCATAAGAAGGGACAAAAACCAATCTGTCACCATTTGGAGGGAAAGCCTATTCATTACAATTCCTACTTTTATATGAAGCGCATTATGATCACATAGCAAGGGCCCTTTGCAATGTCCATACGCCTGTGCCCACCCATCTGTATTAAGAAAACATAAATCCTATTACCAGCATGGCTATGGTCTTAAGTGACATACTTATATGCTTGTTTAACTAGCAGGTTTGGACCTGTGTTCCAGAAAGATAAATTTTGAGTTTAAGCAACATAAAAAAAGTGACAATCATTTTCAAAAGAATAAAAATTGGCAGTTAAGTACAAAAACAAGAGAAGAAAGCAAAAAGAGAATACAACTAGCTTCCTGTCACTTAACTGAGCACAGTGCATACACACAGTGGAAATTTGTATTTTTGTATGGTTTATTCCTGATAGCAAGTGCATGTTAAAGACTGGGATGTTTCAGAACTCCTGTTTTTGTGAAATCTGAGTAGTCTTTCTTAACTTGTTTCTAAACACTTTTAAGTTATGCATACCACATCACACATCCTCCCCCAAGGAGCTGCTTGCTCAAAAGCCTTTTTTTTTGAGAAAGCTGAAGTTGCAGGCTTAGAATAAAAATGTTACCCTACTGCATTACTGATAGTATGGTAATAAAAGCCCATATAACTACTTCTTCTCAGAGGAAAACATGGAAGATTTACAGAAAGGCAGCTAATAGTACTGCAGAGTCTTCATGACCACCCGTCATGCATGGCTAGACACAGGACTTGCAGCTCCACTGTCTGTCTTTCATGTAAGTGAGGAATAAAACCACTAAAGGCAAAACAGTTTAAGAACTATTACAACTGAACCATAAACATTTTGTGCCCCCCCCCCTTTTTTTTTTTAAATAAACATTAGCCTGGAGGTTAAGCATATATTAAACAACACCCAAGACATCAGATTTTAAAACCTAACTTAAAAGCTGGAAAACAGTATTTCATTTAGGTTTTTGCCTAGCTAGTAAAATTCTATTGTCTTGGATAGGAATTAGCATTTCTCATCCTCTATTCACATTAAAGCAGAGTCAGACCAAGTCATTTCTCATTGTGAGCATTTGAAAGTGAAAAGGAGCCCGCGTATGTTTTAAAAAAACTTAAAATTCAGTCAATTCTGTACCTGCTAATACACTCGATTATTGTAGCTTACCGTACTTTAGTAAAACTACCAATATTTTATAGCACTAATTAAGTCTCAAAAGATGAAAATCAAAACACACGATCATCACAAATAGCACAGAGAAACCCCCCAACTTATTAGTAAGGGTTACCTATGATGAACTGAAAATTATTTTCTGCCTTTCACTCACCTGAAGTACACATACCATCCAATAAACCCGTCTCTCTGATCATAAAATTATGACATACGCAATTCAGTTAATCATTGTGAAACGTCAATAGAATTTCGTAATAGTACCGCAAACCACAAGAAACCCTTGCCCCAGTACTGAATACCAAGACACAGGCTGCACTTCACACAGTTTCAAAGAGACAAATGAGATTAATTGTCTCACATAAAAGTGAGATAGTCTTTGTAAGATTCAGGTTTAAGGCAACAGACTAATGATCACCACGAATAAAGACAGACAAAAGAATAACAACATTGGTTATTGGTGCCACGGGGATTAAGAGTAGGAAACTTAATTACTGAATTGGAGCAGCTGACTGGTCCTGCGAATGCCACCGCCTGCGCTTTCCTTGCTTGCTACTGGTAAGTCAGCAGCAGGGGTAGAAGAGGAATTCCTCACTGCCAATGAACACTTCTACCATGGTAACAGTTTAAGCACTACTCATAACTGCCTCTAGAATCGGGCAAAGTTTACCAAAGTATGACTTCCATAACAATTTTAATCCACCTTAGCTGGAAATAAAATAAAGCCAGTAAAGAGGAAAAAAGGAAGAAAATTTACCATTTTATTCGATTTGAATACAGAAGATCCCTAATAAATCATAAGGATTGTACATAAAGCTCAGTGAATCTCCGTGCCTTTCCACAATGCAAATTTTAGTTCAAAATGTGTTGACTACTACCTGAAAAAACCCACCTCTTATGCTCTAAGAGAATTAAATCTTCAATAAGGATTCAGAGCCTTCCTGATGTTCTTTGAAAGAAACAGCTTTCCCACAAATTCAATCTTTTCTTAAGAAAGCTAATGATCATATAAATAATAAAAAATTAATATAACCTTTCAAGTGTTCTTCCCACCTTTTTTCGTGTTATAAATTTAGCTAGTGTTTACTTTAAAAATCTGCTATATTTACAGTTACCAATGCAAAGAAATAGGTAAAATGGTATAACATGCTAATGTAGATCCTTCATCTGCACCTCCAAAGATACATTTAAATCTACTTATCTATAAGTGTGTGTGTATATATATATGCGAAGGGAGGGCTTCATGTTATATTACTGTAAATTGGTTTATTTGAGAGTCTCTCTAGAATTCCTTCCGAGTCTAAACTTTAGTCATAAGACTTCTACAAATGATTACATTTAAGTATATCTTTGTTCAACATTCAACGTCAATGGATACTCTGCACTTTTGGAAGGCATTATTATTACTTTATTGCAAGTTCCACACAGCCATAAAGCCCCAGGTACAATGAATAAATGATACCGTTCTCACCTTAAGAACTTGGGAGTTTAAGATCATGAGACAACATATAGCAGGAGAGGATGTCAGAAGTCTGAATCTTAAGCTATTAAATGATTTTTTTATGCAGAAGCCAGCAATGAGCTACTTATTATTAGGCTTACAGTTAACACACTGGATGCCAATGGAAAACCATGAAAATATGAGTCTCCCTGTCATTTTGATCTCTGAACAGTGACAATAACAAGAACAGACTGTTCCTTAGTAATTACCTCTAATGCCTTGCGGTAAAATATCTTAGCAACCCTGGAATATTCTGAAGTCTTAAGATCCACACCACCTCCTGGAAAAAGTACCCTGAAAGGCAACATCCAAGAATCTGATTAGCAACGGTGATCAAACTAAAACCTGGACTATGTACACAGAGAAAGGTCTGATAGTGGTTTTAAGGAGAGGATTCAGGTCTAGGTTAAAGACACCTACATTTCAGAAGTCTACAGACAGGCATCTAAGCTTCCATTATGGACAGCAGGGATCTAGTCAGAAAAGTCAATGGAGGGTCAAATAGGTTTTTTAGAGCAGACACCTAACTGGTCGGTAGGTAGAACAACCCTGTAGGCTCCACGGGCTGTACTGACTAGCACTCAATTAATTATGTGAGATTAGACAGCTAGCGCACACGCAGACAGCTAAGTTTAGGTGTCTAAGTCTTTAACTAAATCATATCCTAAATCTTAGTGTTCTTCTACTGAAGAATGGTTATTATCACAAAGTAATGACCGAGCCTCATGCAATATAAGGAAGAGTAAACAGAAACTACACAAAACTTAGAAATTCCAGCTGGTACGCAAAAGGGTTGTGTGCCATGACTCCATCAAATCCTGCCCTGACTCTTAGCTGGCTCTCCCTACCACTTTAAAAACCTGGCCCCAATCTTAATCCATCCTGTTCAATTTCGGTAAAGAAGAATTGTGGCCCTGGCAGAGTGACCTTCTTTATGCAGACAACACAGATCAAAAAGTTCCCATTAAAAGGGAAAAAAAAGTACGTTTGGCCATACCTTTTGGTCACACAGGATCTAATATAGATGAAGAAGACAAAGCAATCTCAGAGAGAATTTCAAAGAAATAGCGCACAGTCTTTTTCCACCACAAAAAATAATCAGCAATGGCAATTCTCTGTGTGGCTCCCCAAACCCAAACACCACAAAAGAGAGAGACACAGTGCTAGTACAGTCTAGCAGAGATTTCACATGTACACATGATGACATGGAAAGTAATCAAGTACCATCAGAGACAGTAACATGAAATAAAGGAAGTCTCTTCTGGCTGTAACTGGAACAGTACCCGCAGAACTGACAGAACTGAATGTGTCAGCACTCCCTAACACACTGCAGCAGAACCTCTATTAGATTTACTCAAGCCACATCCATCAGTTGCTGATTTTTTACCAAAATGGCTGAAGGATTTCCTCTACATTTCTGTGCTCTGGAAACAGCAACCTGTATCAGTGAGATACTAACAAGCAGCTAGAAATAACTAACATCTCAGATGATCCCATGCATTTGCAGAGCGAGTGTGTGTTTAAACCCTTGTGACTAGGTTTATTTTAAGGTGAATGATGCACAGGATCATACAAAAGCCACCAAGTATCTGGCGGAAAAGTGGAGCGGTATTCACAAAAATATAAATCAGATTACTCTCCAGTGCCAATATAGAAAATGAATACAGCCAAAGGTATTTTTCAAAACAGGCCAGGTTATAGATTTCTACAGAGATCTAGTTAGACAAATAAGGCAATCCTTACCTGGAAGTGGTAGAAAATTCACTTCACCTGTTCCTTCTGTTCAAACCAAAAACTGGCCAATACTAATTAGGAAAAACAATTGTCATTTCTGCTAATGCAAAAGGAAGTATCCCATTAAGTAGCAATGATAATGGCTTGATATTGTCATAAGCAGATTGAGATGTAACTACCTGTATTCCAGTATCTCTAACTGGTTAGAGCTTATAATGTTCACTGTGAATTTCAAAAGCTATCTCAGGAGTACATTGCTATATTAATAAAATTCTGTCTCTACTATAGTAAATATCATGATTTTAAGAAGGTGACATTTAATAATAAATAATTTCCAACTGCAAAGAACCTGGAGCTAAGGTCTTACAACATGAAAGATCAATGTGTCTCTCTCTTATTCTAAGTTTCCACAGAACGGAAAGTCCTTCCCTCCAGAGATCTTATTTGTTATTTATACACAGCTATACTGTGGAAGCCATTAGCTGACAGTGGAGGGCAACAAGAGGAAATACAGACCATCCTTACCCACCTACATAGCACAAACCCAACTGCCAGCCACTGCAAAGACAGAAGGATAAGGGAACCGGATCTACTTGCCTAACACCCTCTTCTGCATTGAGGTAGGTGGCGAGGTAGAAAGAATGGGAGACCCCACTGGTGAAAGTCCTTTTGGCAACCAAAGAGAGGCTGGCAGCCATGAGAAAGGGATGAAATTATTCATTTTGTCTCCAACATGAGGAGCCACAGGGGAGAAAGTGTCACTGTCTTACACTTGCTTTTACTGCAAGACTGTAAAGACCCACGTCTTAGAGTACAGGGCATACTGTGGAGCAGAAGTGGAAAATGCTCTCCCCAGCCAGCCACAGGTCTAAATCTGCAAGTTCTACACATGTTGATTAACATTCTAGTACATGCATAAGCTTAAAAAAATATTCATGGTTTAAGATTGCTCATCTCATGACTACGAGTAGCCCAATCACATGCTGTGGGCTCACATACAACCAAGCCTGTGAAGTGTAGCATCAGCTGATTTAACTCTTCTAAAGTGTACTTTTAGCACAAGGCAAACGTAACAGGTTTTGACTTTGCTTAGTCCACAACTAAAATTTGTTAAATTAGATCACATTATCCCACATTTAAAATGTAGGAAGAACACATGGGTGGACAGTTGCCATAGGTCAGCTGAAAAGTTAGAATGTTTGTCTAACAAAGACCTAAGCCACAGAATCGTGACAGGCAAGACGGGCCATTCAAGAAGCAAGAGAGAAAGCACCTGTGGAGAAAAGGGTAGAAGAGACTGGAAATTAGAAACTTTTATGATACAGGAGATATGGAGAGGACTGGAAGAGGGAAGAAAGGGTAGGAACAGGGACGAAACACCCAGCAAGTGCTATTAAATATCAAAATTAAGGTGATCACTCAAATGAGGAAGAGGAAAAAACTAACAAAGAGGAACTGGGCTATTTCACTTGTAAAATTGTTAACCACTATAATGCCACTTCTGTCTGCCTGAAGACAAACACAGAATGCCAAGATGAGCCTTGGCACTGGTACAGATTATCTGACATGTACTCCTCAAGGAAGAAAAGGAAGCAGACCGACATCGGATGAAACAGTGCTCTCTCTGTCTTAGAACATATTCACATGTCTGCAGCGAGCGCTCAGCACAACCTCTCAAGAGAGTAGAAAGATAGCGCTCCTGGGAATACAGCAGAGATCAAAACCAGAACTACCACATCTTTCAACAGAAAATCCGTGCTCAAAACTTACCCATTAATAGAGTGGAATATTTTATCATATTCTTCATCTGAAAGATTTAATCTAAAACACCAAGAAAATAGTTACAGAATACATATGGAATATACATATTTAACCACAAAAATATCATCGTTATTGAACAGAAACATGAGACACAGGAAATATGTAGAAAACATGCTTTAAATAGAATAAAATAGACCCAAATCAAATGAATCATTTCACTTGAAACAGCTCAGTCCACAAGATTGAAAATAGGGCCCTGTCAGGTACAGTTCAGGATTAGGTACTCTGAGACCCCTTTGCAGACACTCATTAAATTTAACATTTACTTGAATGGCATGGTTATTATTTCCTGCGGACCGGCAACTCTGGTTTCCAATTCACTCCAAGAAGGGCAGAGCTGCAAACAGCGGGTCACACCCATTCTTCAGCAAAGATATCGTTGAGAAGTGGAAAGATGAGAAAGACCTCGGCATCAGCAAAACACCAGCAAATCAGTATGACAGCTACACTCATGTAGAACTGATACACTGGGTATATTTAAAGCATTCAGCTTTGCTGCATCTAACTTAGTTGCCAGAACTAGAAGCCTCCATTCATCGATGAAGCTTCTGGTAAGCAAACATTCTGAAAGCTCTACCAGCTACGCGAGGAACACTGGCTTCTAATTCAGACACTTAACTGGTGCTCTTATTGGACTGTGTAGATACATCCTATTGTGATTTTCTGCAGCTGCATTAGTATCGTTCTTAAGTTCTGACCATTATCATTTTAACATCCGATTTCAGTGCATTTACTATTTTATAGCTAACTGTCGGCTATGAAGTATTGTCAGTTCCGTTACTTACTCTGCGACTTTTTACCCAACAACCAAAATACAACACATGGAGTTAGTGACCCATAGTTTGAGCTGAACTGGACTTTGGTTTCTTCAAGGAGTACCGACAGCCTTCCTCCACTACTTGAATTCTAGGACCACAGAATGTGACAAAAGATAGTGTGTATATATGTATCTAGATACCTATGTGCGTCTGTGGGGCACTACACATTAGACTGAATATAACTAAATTCAAAAACCACAGATGCGAACTATGGAGGGTGATTTTACAGGTAAAAAAAAAAGTATTTTTCACATAAATGTTACTATCATAAGAAGAAATATTAAAAATTACATGTTCCAGCCTGCTTTTGTTCTGATTTCTAAAACTCCATGCAAATTGTGGCATCTTCAAATAGTCTTTGAGGAGCTCTAAACACTCAGAAAAGCAGCACAACTGCTTTCTGTGCCTTTAAGATGATACCCTTACGTTAAACAATTATGACCCACTTGTAAGGATATAAAAATCTACCTTATTGGCACAACTCGGGCACCGGCAGATTCCAAAAACTTCACATATGAAGCTGCAATATAAGAACTTCCAAATCTGCGGAACTTCTCAAAGTGACATTCCTGTGACAATATCCCTGAAGGGGCCAAGAAAGAAAGTTAGCACTATACAAACAGCCAATGCTATGCACCGAAAGAAGAATTAAACTCCGATTTCCTGTATGCCATATTACATTTATTGACTGAAAGAATTGCAAACACTGAGACAATGGGGCATCAATTACGATGCCTTGTCAAAAGGTACCAAACAAACACACATTATTTAAGACTCAGCTTCCCTGCTTTATCTAGTTAGCACTACAACTTCTCTTAAGTAAGTTATTGTTATTTTAAATTTTTTTAAACGAAGTATGTATAGCGTAACACTATTTATAAAAGCTTTAACCACACCTACGCTTCAGGAGACCTGCCACTCCACACAGAAACCGGCAGGGTGTCATGTGGGTTGTGGGAGCCGTTCCCTCCCCCGGGACGACGAAGGCAGGGTGCGAGGCAGCCCTCGGCCGCCCTGTTACCCTGGGCCGGCCGGTAATCCCCGGGGAGCGGCCGCCGGGAGCTC